CTTTCGATGTGGGATTCCTTACCATATATAAGACACTTAAATGGGCTTATAACATATGGGCCTATATTGGAGACTTTTCCAATTCACCCAAATTAATTACAACGGTCCACATCATTAAATAACATATTTAATGATCCAAATACATCAATTAATTCCAACAGAAAGAAGAAGTCTGTGGAGTTTGTGTTGAAGTTCATTATATTGAAGTCCAGCCATGGAAGTTTAGAAGAGAGCTAGAAAATGGAGAAGTTTGTGAAGTTTCCATATATTTATAGCAGATCTCTAGTTCCTAACGGGCATGGTTCTCTCTGTTTTTTCTTATCATATCAGTAGTGGGATGATCTCTCCAGTCCACTAGGGGCAGGAAATCAATTTCAATATGGGAACAATAAAAAACTCCTATTTTTAAATATCACATTACATAAATAACAAACTCATTAAAATATTTCAAAAATCAAGTGGTAAATTAATTTATTAAATATTAAAATATAATATAATATACATTAATTATTTCTATCAATGTCATTTCACCTACCACATCCTATCACCCCCGCTACACCATCTTCCCTCCACCTCTCCACCGGAGACGGCCATCATCTTCGGCGATCACTCTAGTGGACTCTCCGGCACTGCTCCGGCAACTGTTCCGCGCAATCACTCGGCAGCTGCTCCGACGATCGCTCCGTTGACTCAAAGATTTCCAAAAAATTAAAACTTGAAAATCACACCCCACCCCCGTCAATCCACCGACCACCACACCATCCCTGCCTCCACCTCCTAAAAAATTACCGAAAAGAATTTTTGTGTTCAGTGTAATTGTATGTGACTAATTGTGACCAAATGTGTATTCAATGTGATTATCTATGATCAGGTCAATCTCAAGTCACAATCGATCACATGTCACAATCAAAAGACTGAGAAGACAACTAACCTTACCACCAACACAATCCCCACAGATCTAACTACTACTCAAACTCAAACAATTGAGCAAGCCGCCAGTCTTTCCTCCACTACTAACACCCTCACCATTCCACCTATAGATCAAACTCAAACTCAAACACACAACCAGCCAAACACAAACACAACCCCCGCCGCCAACAAGATATTGCTCAACAAAAATGAAATTTGGGGAAAGATGTCAGAATAATTGAGAAAGCAACTAACCTTACCACCAACACAATTCCCATAACTCTAACTACTACTAAAACTCTAACAATTGGACAAGCCGTCAGCCACTCCTCCACTACTAACACCCTCACCATTCCACTTATAGATCAAACCCAAACACAAACACACAATCAGCTAAACACAAACTAAAAGAGGAACAAATTGTCAACCTTTCAAATTTACAGCCCATAAAGAGGAACAAAAGCCATCATTTTCTTAGGTTACAACTAAACAAATTTCACCTCACTATTAATTTGGACCGAGTTCAACTAATTAATTCCAAGAAATCCAGTTTAACAATCGCAGGAAACTCCTCCAAAGAACACGCTTTAACCTAAGAGACAACCTCGAGAAAACAAATCTAAAAAAAAAGAATGTTGTAGAACACAAACCCGATATCTCTCAGATCCGAAAGTTTTTAAAATACTCCATTAATTTAAAAACGAAAAATAAAACTTTGTCAATATAACAGAGTCCATATAAACCCAGAACTTGCAATTAAATCTACAATTTATTTAGTAATAATATACAATAAATTAAAGTTTAACCCAAATTACTCAGCGAAAATTACTATTAAGCTCCTAAACTTCACTGCCAAGCTTGCAGCAACACTTCATTGAAATTTCAGATCCACAAGAGGCACTGCAACACCTCAACTTAACCATAGTGAGCTTATATCGACGTGCAAGCGGTGTTGTGACTGCTGCCCGCAATGGGTGGTTGTAGCAATTGATGCAATAGGCATCCGGTCTCGTGAAACTCCAGCGAGAGAAGCAGTAGGTGGCCGGAATCTAGAGGGGAGGGTGGGGTGGGGAAGAAGTCGGCCTTATTTTTGGGTGAGAGAGTGACCATCTGATTTTTGGGGA